CTCAGCTCCGCGCGCGCCCCGCCCCGCGCCCCACGTGTAACGACCCCACCAATGGGCTCGCCGCGCGCGCGGACCCGGATCAGGAAACGCGCGGGTGGGTGATGGATGCCGCGGTCGGGTCCCGGGCGGGGGGAGGAGGCGGACGCTTTGGCTCCCAGCCCCCCAAATTTGATTCCCTCTGGGAATTCAAAGCCTGTCAGGCTGTAAGTCCTCCGGGCCCTGTGCGTGCCCCTCTCCTGGCTAGGCCTCGGGGCAGCCGGGCGGCCAGGGCTCAGCGCTGACCTCGGACCCAGCCTTGCTGGGCCTCGGGTCCTCCAGGGTTCGCGGCCGGCTGGGGAGGGGTAGGACATTGGCACCGAGGGGCGTCCTGACCCCGGGATAAAACGAATGAGGAGGACAGACCCGTTTTCTCACCCACTAACCTCCTTCCCCACGCTCTGCTCGTATCGTCTGCCCGAGAGTCCCTGCTTTGAGAAGCCTGGCGGGGAGCCGCAAAGGGTGGGTGGGTGAACAGCCAAGAGAAAAAGACTCGAAGATGTAAAGCGGAGCCATTCCAACATAACCGGAGGGACGCTTTTCAGATTTCCCTCCTTTTAGAGACAGTATCTGTTTTGTTTTTTCCTAAGAAAATTTGGAACCTTTCTAACAGCGTCTAATTTAGTGGAGATGTCGACGTAAGAGCTAAATATGCCCACGTTTACTTGGTGCGATTGTTGAGAAAGAAGGTGGCTCAAGGATGGGAATGGATAGAAGCGTAGCCTCCACAGAACCGATCTTTGACACCAGTGTCTTCCTATTTCAGAACAAGCCCCAAACAAAAACAAGCTAAGGATAGGTTAAGCACCTTGCCGGGTCTGATCGCCGACAGGTCTTTTCCAGCTGAGAATTTTATGTTTTCTTTTTCGGATGCTGCTCTCTCATAGCCATATCTGAGGCTAGAGTTATATTTACAGGACAGTCTATAATTTCTGAATTGCTAAAAATTAGCATATTAACGATATTAGTAGCTCTAGAAAGGAGGGAAAGGGGACTGTTGCCTGCCATTTGGTAATTGAAATTTGATGTGTAAACTCATTATGTCATTATTAACAAATAAATTACTTATTAATTCCACCTAATGTTGATCTTTGAAGTAAATACTGATGCCTTATTCGTCCTGTGTGCTTTCCCTTTACTTTTCTGAGTAACAGACACACCTAGACCCTGTATTTTTCAGCCTATATGCAAACTAGCATAGTCGCCATTCTAAATATACTTTCATATTGGCACGGAAAGCAAGGATTTTTCAGCTGGTGCAACTTAGTTGATTTTTCAAAAAGCAGTATAAACAGCCTTCTCACAACTCAGTCTGGAACACAGACAGAGAAAGTTATAGCCTAAGCCTGGAAACACTTCAAAAGGAATGCCAATTCTATCTTCATTTATATCGGTTACTCATATGAGTTACTAAATGCTGGAATATCTCCATTTGATGGATAGTCATTTAATGCTTAGCCACATAAAGCCTATTATATGGGACTAATCTTTAAACTAATTTAGGAAAAGAGGTTAAAAAAGGGATTATGTTAGCTTTCTAACTAGAATCACCCTGAAGTGGTACAAAGAGGTTTTCCACATTGGGTGTATGTGTGTGTGAAGAGTCTGTCCATTGACATGAGGTACCCTGAAAATGTTTTGTTTTTAATGAAATCTGAGCCGCAGGCAGAAGTCAACGCTGAGTGTAATCTTTAGATATCCTTGCTAGACTGGGGGGTGGGGAGAAATCCTGTGATATGGCCGCCTAAACCAATATCTCTCCCCAGCAAGCAAAAAATATGTATGCATAGGTTATATACTATATAGTATACATCATATACACATATGTGATATTTAATACAAATCTGGGCTCTCTAAGCTTCAGGGGGAATAAAAAGCATGAGGAAGAAATCTTGCCCTCTTCCTCATGTCATCAGCTTTAAGTACTAGGGTCTTAACCATGTCTGTTTAATGTTATTTACAGATTCTAAAACACAAAATTTGTGTTGTTTAGCCTCAGAACCTTCTACCAAGTTTCTATTTTTAAGTATTAAGAAGACACGGGCACTGTTTTGTGTATGGCTAACCTAAACCAGTTCTCTATGCCTGTGTTTCGTGTGGTTCTATTACTTTGGGAAGATGGGCTTACACAGAATCCCCCAAGGCCTGTAACTTGTCTTTGTGGTTCGTATCATAAACACAAACGGAGCCAGGACCACCAAGTGTTATCTCACACACCGACATTTTGACATTTTACTGCAAGATTTATGGCTGTAATAAACAATCTCAGTACCTTTTCTGAACCTTCCACAATCTCCCTTTGCAAGCTACAGCATCATTCTATTGAATCAAAGAATCATTTGAAAAACATTTTTGAAAGTCACCTCTTGCCTTTACATAAGATGCAAGACACCAGAGTAAAGCCAGGAAGAAACTAACATAATTAATATACAAACTGAAGTTTACCAGCATCATCTCGCCCGAGAAAAGCTGGATGCCCTGAAATCTCGAGCAGAGAGGGAGCATGCTAATCTTCACACACCAACTGGCTCCAGTCCCAAGCGGGGTGAAAACATTATCCTTTCCTTGGGAAACTGGTAAGCACATTTGCTCATTTCCACGTGCAGGGATAACATATATTGCCAACAAAAGCTTTCTTAAAATCCCATTCAGTGAAATAACTTTTCATCCTGTCCTCGCATCCCAGATGGAGAAGGAGAGTGAAGGAAGTCTGAAGGAGAGGGAGGGCGAAAGAGAGGCAGTGTTTGCAGCTTGGTTTGAATCTGATTTGAATCATTTTCAATATATTTGGGACAGCCTTTCCTCTTGAATACAACCCTGTCCCAAGTTTCAAAGTGACCGAACAGTGACACCGTGTGCATTTTGTTTCTTATTAATCTCACACATTGACAGTCTTTGTTAAACCACAAGGCGCGCCCTTCACCAGCCGACATTTTCATATTTGTTAGACGCGCTGACCTGAAGTTCACCTCGGCCTTGGACTTTGCGCTTTTAAAAGGTCTATACAGTGTCTTTTAGAGAGCAGGGTGCTTTGCCCAGGCCACTCCTTCTCAGGAAAAACCAAGGGGAAAAAGCAAAGGAAATGTAAACGTTATGGAAAGTATTGACAGTATTTGTCCTTTGTTCTTTAGAGTGACAGTCCCCAGACTGTTCTGTATCTGAAGCGCATTTCTGGAGCGAACAGGGGAGTGGCAAAATTTCAAAATGCCTGATGATGGCATTCAAGGGCTTCTCCCCACCTACATCAGGTACATGATTTTAGAGGAAAAACAGTTCATCAGCCATTTGACCAATTAATTGTTTGGGGGTAATTTCCTTGTAGTAGTTTAAAATAATGAATACAACCCAGGCATAGGGACTGAAATTCATATTAGAATTAGACCTGAATTTTAACCAGGAATGTTTGAGAGGCCTAAAGACCAAAATCCTCTGAATAAAGGAGTAAACACACTAAAAGCAATAACTTCTTCAAGTATCCTTTTCTTTTACTTTAAAGACTAGCTGAAAGGTGTCTATGATTATTGAAGCTGATGTGTTTCTAAAGTGTGTCGTATGTTTTTATCCAAAAATACAATAAAAGGGTTTTCTCAAAGAGACATATAATTGTCTTGGTGAGTAATAGGGGGATTTCAGTTTTCTTCATTTTACTAGCCCAGATGCGGTGAAGTGTTCACTGTTGTAACAGCAATCACCACAGTTGTTTCCTTTCTTTTATTTCATCTGGCAGACCCCCATTTGGCTTCAAGTTCTTGGCCAGAGTGAAAACTTTACACATTGCACAGTAGAAGCACCCTGATAACTTCCATGAAGGCAGTATTTGGGAAATATTTACTTTACCACTGAACATACCTGGCACCTTTAAATCCAATCAACCAG